AATGTGGATGGGTGGCTATGGGGCCTCCCAGTGTGGGTGGGTGGCTACGGGGCCTCCCAGTGTGGATGGGTGGCTACGGGGCCTCCCAGTGTGGGTGGGTGGCTACGGGGCCTCCCAGTGTGGATGGGTGGTTACGGGGCCTCCCAGTGTGGGTGGGTGGTTACGGGGCCTCCCAATGTGGATGGGTGGTTACGGGAGCCTCCCAGTGTGGCCAACCGTTTCAGCGAGGGGTCGATTCGAACGCCACCCCGCTTAGCGGTGCGCATTGCGTATCGGTCTCGGAGCTGACTCGAGTTCAGGCCGGTAAAAGGTTTCGCGGGCTCTAGCGGTGACTTGTCTGCTGTTGGGTTAAGAGGGGGAGGGAGGTGAGGCACGGGGGGGGGGGGGGTCGGTCAAGGGTGCCGCACAATGAAAAGGGCATTCAAACTGCCACCGCCTTGTCAGACATCACGACGGGAACGAGAGGGAACGCAGCGCCGTAAAACATTCCCGCTGAGAGAGAGAAAGAGACCTCCGATATATATTTTTTTACGTTCGCCGCACGCGTGTCGATGAAAAATAGCGTGACGTCGGTTATTAATTGGCATTACTTACTAAATGACCAAATTAATTACACCGATGTCGCAAATAATTGATCAAATGAAAGCGTGTAACACTTTCGCGCGATGATTCTTATTTTTTGTTATCACCCCCCCCCCCCCGTTAGGCCGCCAAGTCGGGGGTGTGTACATTTGACCGAGGCAATGTGCTCAGCTCCAAAGAAAAACTTCGACCTACCCCCCCCACCCCCCACACAAACTAATCGCCAATCAATCAAGAGATAGGAGAACTCTTCTTGAAAAAAAAAGTCATGCACGTTTCATTCGGGGGGCAACAAAGGGAAGAGGAGAAAAAAAAGCGGAGAAGACAGACAGAGTCATCATTAAACACTCATATGTCAGCACCCGCCTCCCAACCCGTGATGAACTCTGAAAGAAAATCAATTTTGCCCAGACTCGCGAGACGGCTGTAAAACCAACATTGTGGTTGACCTTCACTCGCGAAGGACACAAAGCGAGAAGAAGGAGTAGGAGACAAAAAAGTATTATTTCTTAATGAAATCAGCACTGTTTATATCTTGGCACCACTGGGGCTCTGCCACAGAATACCGACGACGAGCACGTTCACCTCAATTCAATTAGCAAGCGGACGAACGCCAACGCAAGGTGGCACGCAGGATGGAGGTTCGCGCTATACGCTGCACTACGAACCCCGGCGACATCGGGTTCGAGTCCCTGCTCACGGCCACCAACACCGATGACGATTATCTCAACCGGTCCTGGACCTCCCCGAGGTCGACTCAGCCCCAAACGAGTACCAGGCGCGGTGTGTAAACATCGCCACTGGGGAGACAAATGTTGCTGGGCGTGGTGCTGGCCACCCAACCCCTCGTGTGCCGTACCGGCCTTCGTAGGTGCTACTCGCGCACAGCACTGGCCCCAACAGTCCGTTAAAGGATCTACGAGGAATCTGTCTTTGGTTGGTGGCATTACGTGTGGGGTAAGGGTGCAATATGCCACGAGGAGCATGGTGTGTGCTGGCACTGGGCACGGCGTTTCAGAGGGGCCTTTCTTCGACGGGGAGGGGCAGCTTGGTGTGGAGGGGAGAGTACCGTGGGCTGGGTGGTGGGTTTCTGTGTGCCTGGGAGCATTCGGTGTAATGCGTATTGTGGGCGAGGGCGGTATGACAGGCATGGCATGGTGTGCCAGGTAGATCTCCGTGTGCCAGGGCATGGTCCAGTGTGCCTGGAATTGTCTCAGTGTGCTGCGGCAAACGTTGTGCGGCAGGGAAGGCTCAGGGTGCTGAGTGCTGTGTGCCAGGGTAGACGGGCGTGGTGTAGCAGAGAAGGCACCGTGTGACAGGGAAAAGGCAGGATTTGATGTGCCAAGAAGGGCTCTATGTGCTCGGGTGAGTGCTGTGTGCCGCGGAGAGGGTCCGCTGTGCCAACGAGAGACATTTGTTGCCACGGTTGTGCGGCGGAGATTGCTTTGCGCCAGAAAGGGTGCGGCCTGCAGTCGGTTGGACAGGGAAATTGGGCTTTCGCTTGGTCAGCCGGATCTGGAGTTAGGCTGTCTCATACTGGACACGACTTCAGGAGGGAGCCACGTGGTTCAGAGGTCAGAACACTGGGGCCGGCACTGCTGAGATGATGCTGTGTTAAAGTCACCTGTGATTGAATTGAGTTGTCAAGTGCAGTGAGTCGATGATTTTCACCTGGCCACCAATGATTGTACAAAAATAAAACCATTACGGTTTTTTTTTCTCTTTCTCGGTTTGAATGCCATGCGAAGGAACAGTTTTCTATAGCGGTGGGGGTGTGTGGGGAAGCTTGCTTCGTAGTGTGGACGTATGAAAGGTGACTAAAAGGGAGCGTGGAAGTGAAATCTTCCTTCAACGGGCAGCTCTGCGCTGCAAGAGTTATGGACACTTCGTCTCCCCGACGTGATGCTGATAAAAATGTGCCCGAATAAAAATGTTCTATGTATATATTTAAAAAAAAACTGACATTCAATCAGCCGTTTCATCTCCGTTAAGCGGCTTACGTGCGTAAATTCTCCGTTGCTCGCTGACCCAGGCCAACTAAGCCAACGATGGTACAGGCGTCAAGGCGTGATGTGCCACGTTAATTACATTCATGGTGATATCTAAGATTCCACAAGCCAGTTTACAACAGTTAGCATTTCATTACCAGTGTTATGGTCCACTATGTGTAATCTCACTTGCGTAATTTTCAGGAAATTGTCAGCCATTGGGATGTTTTGGCCAATACCAGTAACATTCATACTCTTTGGTTCTTTCGGTAAAGTCACTTAGGTTAAAAAAATAAGAATAAAAAAAATAGAAATAACTAAATTAAATCACGAGTTACCAGTTACATTGTATGTCATTAGCTTTTGCAGGAAATCGCAGAATCTGGAGGAAACGCATGCAGAACAGGGTGAGAACGTAGAAACTCCACACAGAAAGGAGCCAGAGTCAAGACACCGACCAGGGCAAGTTCTTGCTGCGAGGCACAGGTGTTACACAGCGCTTGCACTACCTTGCCACCAACAACGCCACGATGCTGTAATAACGAAGGCGCATCTGGGTGGTGTAGCGTCTGTGAGTGGCGCCCCGTGTGTGTGTGAGAGAGCCCCCACCCCCCCTCCCTCGCACTCGCAATCCCCCGCCAGCTCGCATTCGGTATTCTACTCACAGACCGCGACAGCATCACGCGCCGTGCGATGTATCCCATTTGTGCCAATATAAGGCAAAGCATATCGAATAAGGAATACATAGAAACAAAGACAAAGATCCCCCGTATGGTCTTCACAGACTGTTGGGGCGAGTGCTATTAGCGAGTCGCGCCTATGAAGGCCAGTACGGCACACGAGGGGGTGGGTGGCCAACACCACGCCCGGCCGCCTTTGTCTCCCCAGTGGCGATGATTACACACCGCACCAGGTACCTAGGGTAGGCCCATGGCCGGATTGGATAATCGTCACTGGTGTTGGCCGTGAGCGGGAATCGAACTCGAGTAGCCGGGTCCGTAGTGCAGGACGCTAACCGCTACACCACCGCTCCCCCCCCCCCACACATGCACATAGATAGAAACAAATGGACAGACATTAGGATCACCTGAATAAACTGGGAAACAAGAGATCCCAAGAGAGGAGGCAGTCGTTGCGTAAATGTAAAGGTCCATTCTCACGCAATGCACGAGGGAACGTTTTCATGAAGGGTGATTACACAAGAGAGGTAGGCCAAGGATTGGGGATGCTGGAGGAGCTAAAGGAAGGGGTCGTTGGTGCAAATGAAGAGGAGGGCTGAGAATCAAGAGAAAGATAGAGAAGTTGGTAGCCAGCCAGAAAAACGGTGCAGCCCTACAAATGCTCGCTCGAACCAAAAACGATGAAAATAGAACAAATACAATTTTTTTCTTGATTTGAAGCTTTCGTGATTGCAGAAAATCCATACTCTTTGGTTCTTTCGGTAAAGTCACGTAGGTATAAAATACAAATAAATCACGACGTTTAAACAAAAAAACCTTTTAAAACAGTCTGCATCAGCAGCAGACCATGCTTTCCCACCTGACGATGGACGCTTGTGTTGTGCCAGAAACGTCGTAATCTATTTTATTTTATTTTATACCTACGTGACTTTACCGAAAGAACCAAAGAGTATGAATTCCTGCAGTCACGAAAGCTTCAAATCAAGATTGATACTCTGATAATAAATGCATTGTCTTTGAAACTGATTGGTCCACACCAGAGACAGCTTTCTTTTGAGCCTCGACTCAAACGGTGTTAAACCAGAGGACGCCAAAAGGCGTACAGCTTTTCAAAAAAATCCTTTAAATGTCCGGATCCTTGAAATGTCCGTAGACAGCAGTCGCTAGGGATGCATCACAAAGCATTGCCGAGCAAATATTGGAGCTGAACCACCGTGGCACCCGTAATGTCCCATAGCTCAGGGGGTAAAGCATGTCTCTGTGTACCGCAGTGGTCCATGATACCCCACGCCGCACAGACACGCACGGTGTGCGGTGGCAGCGTGAGCGTGGGCGCCCAGGGATTTATAGCCAATATCCTCTTTTAGCATTGCTACTAAATTACACTAATACCGATGTTTCACAAAACTGCCCTTCTCACAGTTAACGGCTCACCCCTGTTGAAAGGTTACAGTTTGAAGCATTGATATTGTGTTTTCCTAAATGCATTTTGGCAGTTTAATGAGCACGAGATGAGTTTGTTTTATACGCTGCATAAGCCAACACAGCCAGCAACAGTTTCATATGTATATATTCACACAGTGCGTGTGTGCAAGATAGGAGTTTAGTGGTTTTGTTCAACTTCTTTTGCACCGTACGTAGCCAACCGTGCTAATCGAACCCGGCAACCCGAGTTCGATTCCCACTCACGGCCACCAACAGCAGCGAAGATGATCCGAAGCGGTCCTGGGCCTCAGCCGTCAATGCGTACCTGGCGCGGTGTGTCGTTAACTTCGCCACTGGGGAAACAAAGTCGGCCAGGGGTGGCACTGGCCAACCTGCCCGCTTCGTCTGCCGTGCCGCCCTTCTTCGTAAGGATGTTTTGTGCCTTGTCCTTGTCACATATGAGAGAGAGAGATGGAAATAAATTGGGACGTAGTTGAACTCTGTGACGTCAGGAGACAAATGCAGAGACAGCGATCCTTTTACTGGTAGGAACTTCCTGGTTACACCAGCCCATAGGGGATTATTGTGTCCGTCCGTCCGTCGTGCATCCAAAAATGGGAGGGGTGGGACTGGGTGGAGAGGGGAGGGTGGGAAGGGTGGGGAGGGGCTGGGTGAGGAGGGTGGGGCTGGCTGGGGGGTGGGAGGGGTCGGGCTGGGTGGGGAGGGGCTGGTCTCTCCGTGGTGCCCTTATAAAATTCAACGTTTAACCTACTCACGCCGGCTTGTGCCCGCCCTCACAGTCGCCCATATTTGCGGAATACACCACGCCGCCGTTGACCCTGGCCATTGACCGAGCAACCCAACGTTCCTACCAGCTTCCTCTGCAGGAATGTGTTAAACTGAGGCAAACTTCTCTATTAGGGAGAGTCTGCAGTCATACTTATGGAGAAGTGTGAGTTTGTCTGGGAATGAAACACAGAGTTTAAGGACTCAAGAGTTGCCCAAGTGACAGAAAGGCTTTTTGAACCTGCTAGAAGTTGAAATAAAACAAATCACACGGGCACTCCAACAACAAACAAACTATGGTTTGAGAACGAAACTCGGTGTTTGAAAACTCAAAAAATTGGCCAGCTTCTGATTGAGGGAAGAACGCACCACAGCATTTTAAAGGGAGAGTTCAGTGCCAATGTTGATTAAAGGGTCAGAGACGGGAGGATGATTTGGTAAATTTCGCTTAGAAGTAAGGAACAAATAGCCAGGACATTGATTGCAGCTCACATCCATCCAAACAAAGAATGCTATACAAATACATGGATGAGCCCAAACGGATAAATACAAAAATACATTGACTTGATGATAATATACACAGTATGATTTTGTGGATGGAGCAATGGTGGTGGAGTGGTTAGTCCAGTACATTGTGAGCCTGGCGACATGAGTTTGAATCCCGACGATGGCTAATATCAGCCGTGAGTGATATATCTGTCCTGCCAGTTTCACTAACCCACACTGATCAGCGTGGTGAAGTACGGTCAAAAGTTCCCTCATACCGAACAAAGTACGTGACGTGGAGGCCTTCATCTAGCAGTGGAGTGACAAAGGAATGTACACTTTTAAGTTAATATGTAAATTTGTTTTACCATTAAATACATATTCTTGGTTCTTTCGGTAAAGTCACGTAGAAGGGAAATAAAAAAAACAATAGAATTCTCACGACGTTTCGATTGCAACACAAGCAATCATCATCAGGTGTGAAAATCACAGCAATAAAATTTGAAAATAAGTAGCGGGTTTGTTCTTAACATCAGCACCACGGACAGCAACTGTCCGTGGTGCTGACGTTAGGAAAAGAAAGTGGCGATTTTTTTCAAATTTCCTTCTACACGACTTTACCGAAAGAACCAAGAATATGAATCCCTGCAGTCATTAAAGCTTTAAATCATTAGATACATCTTAAATATATGCAGAACTATTCAGCTAAGCAATTTTAATTTGATCAGTAAAGGCCCACTGAACTGCATAGCTCTTTTTCAAAAGCGACCTGGCCACAAATGATAGCTCAAAGAAGTGGCTTGTCACGTGGGCATTTTAGGGACTCTTCATCGTACTCTAAACGCGTGTTTCAAAATGTGGAGGGAAATGCACGCGACCACGGGGAGAGAGGCACGCAAACTTAAATATACAGCAGGCGTCAGGGTCAGGATCGAACCCACGAACTGCTGCATACCAGGCGAGGGAGTTAATGCCTCGCCACATCGGTGCCCCACGTGCCCACACATTGCAAATATACCCCTGTCCTGTATAGTATAATTAGGGCAAGTGCTGTTAGCGAGCAGCACCTATGAAGGCACGGCGCGCTAGGGGGTGGGTAGCCAGCACCACGCCCGGCCGCCTTTGTCTCCCCAGTGGCGATGTTCACACGCCACACAAGGCACTCGTTTGAGGCTGAGTCGACCTGGGGGAGATCCAGAACCGGTTCAGATAATCGTCACCGTGCGTTGGTGGCCGCGAGCAAGAGTCGAACTCGGGTGGCCGGGTTCGTAGCGCAAGGGTGGCGCTAACTGCTGCGCTGCCCTTTCCCCACACCACGCTGGTACGGAGATGTAGTGCTCCGCGCATCGCGAGGAAACATTTGCAAAGTGCACGCAAAATGTTCTGGTGTGGACGTGCATCATCGCTGGCGTGCGAGCTGCCTCGAGGGCCATAAATGAATGCCGTCTCCCGTGTCCCTAACGGACATCTGAAACACCAGCCCGTTAATTAATTGCCGGGGAAATTTGTCGTTGTCAGTGACCTGAAGGAATCCAGCCTTAATTAAAATTTCATAACCATTTTTGTTGTGTTTGGTGGCATCAAATGCTTCCCTGGGATCTTTACTGCTGCAGCCCCAGCTCCTGAGGAAAATATTAACGCAGTTTATTTTTGGTTGTTGGAATAAACAGACACATCAGCATGTTTACCGCCAGCCGCAGTTAATGGGACCATCGTTGCCTCCCCATGCGCATCTGACTGTTTTGATGATATATTTAAAAGAAAAAATATCAGTAAAAAATATATTATCATCGGGTTGTGGAGAAGTGGTGCCGTGGTCAGTGTATTCCATTACAAACCGAACTAAAACGAACTACAGTATTTTTTTTTATCTTACCAGGTAAGGCCCACTGAGCTATGTAGCTATTTTTCAGAAGCGACCTGGCCACAAATGATTGCTCAACGATGTCATCTATCATCATCATCATCATGTGGACATTATAGCAGCCAATTTACTCTAAACGCGTGATGTTGATTCTAAACGTGGAGGGAAAATCGGAGGACCCGAAGAAAAATCCACCCGAGCACGGGGAGAGAGAGAAAGAGACGCAAACTCAAAATATACAGCAGCAGGCGTCAGGATCAGGCTCAGAGCCCACGACCTTCTGCATACGAGGCGAGGGAGTTAACATCTCGCCACCGCGACGTCTCCGTTGGTCACCGGAGTTCAATTGGCAGCCATGGCTAACATCGCTGCGGAGTGACATTTGATCTCAGCTAGTCCTGGGCCCGCCCCTTTCATCAACCCACACTGACCAGCGTGGTGAAGTATGGTCAAACGACCCGCGTATCCGACACGGTGTGGGGAGACCTTCGTCCAGCAGTGGACTGACAAATGGCTGTAGAGTGCTTCTTAAAAAAAATAGTTGGCATGATGTGATGGAAGGCGATTGTAAACTTACACCCTGTTGGTGTTCAAATAGGCATGATTGAGTGTCCTAACATTGCTTCGGATGTGCGTGATACCCCACTCAAATGCAAAAGATTTTCTACAGACACCGCGGTTTCAATCCAAAGTGGGGGGGCTCCCGTAAAGGTCCTAGAGACCCAGTGAGGCTTTCTTGGATAACATTTTCAAACTATTATAAATTGCTGCTCAAATAGCTCGTGAATATTGACAATAACGTGTTCTTCCACAGACAAAATAACCAATCGTCTTCACGGAGGAGGTAAGACTCGGTAAAACAATTCAATTCCATGCATGCAATTTGCAGAGCAGGGAGCCTATCATTCTGTACGTGCGATAGATAGGCTAGAAGATTATGCTCGTGTTCGCTTTTTCGTCTGTGAGTGTACCTGTGCATGGGTTTGCTGGCAAGTGTAATTCGTTGCATGTGTGTTTGCTCGTCTGTGCGTGTGCGGTTGTGTAGTTCGGGCGTGGTGCTGGCCACCCCACCACCTGATGTACCGTGCCGACCTTCATAGGTGCTGTCTAACAGCACTTGTCCCAAAAGTACGTTAATGCTATAAGGGGGATCTTTGTGTTTGTATGATTCCTAGCCTGTGTGTGTATGACTGCGAGTCACCCATCTGGACAAAGTCCCAACGGTGAGCTCCTCCGGCAGGCAAGGCTGCGTTGACTGGGTCATGTAGCACGCATGCCCAGCCACGGCATACCTAAACAGCTTTTGTTCGGCCGGATCGAGGGAGCTATACGGGCGCGGCATGGGCTAGAGAATGAAATGGAGTGATGTGGTACAAGAGGATGAGGAGCTGAGTGGACTTGCTGATGACTGGTACCAGCGGTGTCAAGATCGGCCTCTGTGGAGGAGGCTCGTGAAGGACGCTGCTGCTGGGCAGTTGGAGGCAGTCGCCCTCCAACAACAACGGAGGGCATATGAGCGACGCTCACAACAACAAAAGCACAGCAAGTCGTTAAAGGAGGGCCAGTCATCTCAGTCAGTCCACCCGTGGCACCTGGGTCTTCCCCGTGACCTCCTGCCGTCGGGCGTTCGACGCTTCACGTGGCCTCAACGTGCATCTAGCCTGGCACAAGCGCCGTGGTGACGTCACAGCCACTTAGTGGCGAATGGCGTTGTTGTTGTTGTTGCGAGTCACCCACCACTGTCACTGCATGCTAGGCCGCCAGACGTCGGCAACATTAAGAGGCATTCGACTTTCATGGGGATGTTTTTTTTTCATGGCTTAGCGAGTCATTTCCTCCGTGCAAGACTCTGATGCACATTCACATGATAAGTGGGGGGGGAGGGGAGCGTTAGCTAACTTATATGAACACATCCCAGCAGCATGCCCTGTCCTGCACGATTACATTAAATTGTGTCCTTTACTTAACCTGGCGGAAGCCAACTGAGATTTGTTTTTCCAGCAGCAGCAGCAGCAGCAGCAGCAGCAGCAGCAGCAGCAGCAGCAGCAGCAGCAGCAGCAGCAGCAGCAGCAGCAGCAGCAGCAGCAGCAGCAGCAGCAGCAGCAGCAGCAGCAGCAGCAGCAGCAGCAGCAGCAGCAGCAGCAGCAGCAGCAGCAGCAGCAGCAGCAGCAGCAGCAGCAGCAGCAGCAGCAGCAGCAGCAGCAGCAGCAGCAGCAGCAGCAGCAGCAGCGATAGAGGCACAGATATGAGTCGAAGTCGCCCCTTGCTTTGCACCGCTTGCCGCGGGTAATTTCAAGACGTGGCAATTGAGCAACGACGCTGACACACCGCGGAGTGCACGTGAACGCGATGATATCACAAGGGGGGCATTAGGTGTCGACTTTACAGCGGATGAAGCACTTTTGGGTAATTCCCTGCAGAAATTAACGAGGCAGTGGA